CAAAGATGAGAGTGATGTAAGAGTAGGAGAGGGAGGAGAAAGAGAGGGGTAAAGGAGCGGGGGAGGAAAGTGCAAGGAGAGAGCGGGGAGGAAGGGTGGAAAAGAGAAAAAGAGAGAAGGAGGGAAGAACGTGGAGAGTAGACGGAAAGAAAGGGAAGAAAAGAGCGAGGAAGGAAGAGGAGATAAGAGGATGGAGGCAAAAGTAGTGGGAGGAATAAGGGATAGAATGGAAGTGATGAGGGAGTAGGAGAAGGAATAAGAGTATAGGGGTGAAGGAGAGAAAGAGAGGAAGGATTAAAAGGGAAGAAGAAAGTGGTAGGGAGAGGAAGGAGTGAGAGAGGGAAGAGATGGAGATTGGTAAGGGGTTTGGAAATGATAGGATGGAAAAGAGAGGAAATGTATATACAAAATAATAAGAAGAGTGTGATGTGAAAAAATAGAAAAAGTGAGTAGAGGTGGGTAGAGAGTGAAGAGTGAATGGGTTTAGGACAAGGCAGGAGAAAATTAGAGATAATGAGATGAGGTAGGAAGGGGGGGGGAGAGAGATGAGTTTTGATAGGTTGGTATGGGGGGTGTGGGGAGTGAGTTGAGCGGGGGGTGAGAGGAAGAGGGAAGAAGAATAAGGGTGAGAGAGATATGAAGAGAGGAAAGAGGAGAGTAGAAGGAGTAGATGTGTGGGAAGAGAGAGGAAGAGAAGAAGTGAGAGAAGTGTCGGAGGAAATGGGGAAGTATGGGAGGGGAGAAGCAGAGGGAGGTGGGGAAAGAGGAAAAGAGGGGGAATAAGGATGAATGTAGTTATAAAAAAGAGAGAGAAGAAAAGAGGAGAGGAGGGGATGGAGGAGAGGAGTGAGATGGAAGAGAGATAAAAATAGAGAAATAAAAAGAGGAAAGGCAAGAAAGCAAGAGAGGAGAAGAGGTTATTGGGGATTCGGGAGGTTAAAGAAAAGATAAATAAGAAAGAGAGGAGATTAAGAGGGGGAAGTAAGAGAGAGGAGGAAGGAAAGATGAGGGATTAGGGAAAAAAAGAAAGGCAGGAGGGGTGTAAGAAGGGAGTAAAGGAAGGGGTTGGAGATAGAGAAAGAAGTGGGAAGGATAAAGGGGAAGCTGAAGAGGAAAGAGGACGCGAGCAACAAAAGTCCAAGAACAAAACACACCTCATCAACTCAAAAACCACCAAAGCCCCCTCTCAAGCCGCAGCACCATCACCACCCATCCAAACCCCAACAACAACATCCCCCCCTCCCTCCCCCCCAACCAACCTCTCAACCTCCCCCTTCCAAACCCCCTCATCAACACCCACCCCATCCAAAACCCGCACAACGTCCCCCGTCGTCACCAATCCCTCCACCCCTCCTCTCTCAACCTTCAACCCACACAGCCCGCCACCCTCCTCCTTGGCAAGACTCCCCCCCGGCATGACATACACCTTCACTTTCGCGGGATCGATCCTCCCGCCAGCATGCCGAATCGCAATCTTATGATGCGATGTTGCGTATTTCGCCAGCGCACCGAGAAAGGCATCTCTGCTGGGGAGGTCATCTCGACTCCAATGTGCGTCCGTGAGAGCATACTTGTCTGCATGCCCGTAAAAGACAATTCGCATCTTGAGCCCTCCACCCGATGACGAGGACGATGACGAGGACGATGGCGAGGACGATGAAGACGGCGAAGACTGTCCCGCCGGCGCCCCCGGAGTTGAAACCGGTGCAGCCCACGACGGCTGTGTAGGAGAAGCCGTGGACACAACAAATATCGGCGGAGGAGAAACCACCATCGTCAGTGGCATGACGGGCTGGACATATTGAAGTTGAGGATATTGTATGGTCAAGACCTGCGGCGATGGAAATGCCATCACAGTCGGCTGCTGATAGACGTGGTAATACTGCATACCCAAGGTCGAGGCGTCCAGGCTGCAAAAATTGGGGAACGAAGTCGCAAAAGCTATCATTAGCTTTGAAAGCCTGATGTCTGCGAGGAGAGCAAGTCATTAAATGGTGCCTAATGCCCATTGATTGACCTCTGCTGGACAAACAATCCTTGACAGTGATGCTGCCACCATCATCGTTTGACCGACCTCGGGGAGAGGTTGACGGTGATTCACGTATGCAAACACGCGCAAAAACACTGCCGTGATTGAAGTCCTGTACACACAATAGATGGCGAGTGTTCCACATAGATGACCGTATATAGGTGTCAGAGATGGATAACTCTTTCATTCAGTCAAGTGAGCATCTCGGACTCACACCCATCGTTTGCTAATGATGCATTTTGTGTGTACAATGTACACCATGTGAAACCAAAAACCGCAGCAAGACATGCATAAACAAGGTAAGGTAGTAGTAGTAGTAGTAATAGCTAGCCCTTTTGTGCCGTTGGTCGGCAATCTGACCCTTGGTGCCCAAACTCCGTAAACTCTCCGTTGATCAACGTAAATGCTTCCAACATCTCGTCTTGTTCCTTTTGTTTCTCCCCCGCTCTCATCTCGCGACTGCTCAGAGGCTCTCCGGAGTGGGATTCTCGTGCTTAGCCGTGCTTCCCTTTCCTCGCCAGGTGCTCACAGCAGGAATGTGAGCCTCGTATCGAACCTCCTCGGTGCCGTAGGCCCTGGGCGTGAGCTTGATCAACGTGTGAAGCGGCACGTTCATCCAGGGACTCTTAGCCTGGTCTTTCTTCATAAAGTACGCATAGATGCAGCGTAGGACCGCCTGGTGCGTCACAATGAGAATGTCCTCGCTACGTTCCAGTTCCATAATGATGGGCTCCAGGCGGATCACCACGTCGCGGTAGGACTCACCACCGCGGTAACGGTAGTTGTACTTGTCCTCATCGCGGGCCGCAAAGTCTTCGGGGTAACGATCCTTGATCTCCTGGTATGTCAGGCCGTCGCACACGCCCGAGTCCAACTCATCTAGTGCTTTCCACTGCAGCTGGTTGTAGTGTGGCGGGAGGAATCGGGCTGTGGCAATGGTGCGTTTCAACGTCGAGGTCCACACTGTCAGGGGACGGTCATCCTACACCAAGGTCAGCACCTGTCCTACGCACGAAATTTTCCCGAGGATACAGAAGAGTTCCGAATTGCAAGACGTCGACCATGACAGAAGGGGGGCTTAGACTTACCCCAACGGACTCTCGCACAAGCTCCGGCAGCTTTCTGGCATACATCTCGCCTCGGGGAGACAGCAGCGTGTCGCCACCGATTCGTCCGCTCAAATTGTACAAAGATTCACCGTGCTATCAAAGTTGGGTATCAGCACAATGCAAAAGGGCAAGATGCTCTTGTAGTATGATTTCAGATGGTTGCTTACCCTTGATAGCCAGACGGACCTGGGCCGGACGTGTAAATTCATGAGATAGTAGACGATGCGGCTTTGAAGATAGTCCTGGATGCGGTTGATGATGACTTGCTTGCCGACATTCATCAACTTGAGGTAGGTGTAATGATCCTCGTCGTTGTCGCCATTGATGGTTTTGTACACCTTTTCGTAGTGGCTGATGCGGTTGCGAAAGTCTTGGGCCGCGGCCTCGGGATCCTGGCCGCGATAGTCGGGGCTTGTTAGTTTGACGTCCCGGATGTTGGCCATGATGACCTCTTCATCGTCGCATTTGCTCTCGACAAAGAGCACCTCGATGCCATGAGCGGCGCACGTGTCCATAACCCATTTGCGGCGCTCCTTGGTGGAGTTGGTCGCGTCGAGGATGCCGACAACACCGCCGGTGCGGAACCACGCGAGCATGTCAGCAACGGCGGCTTCGGCGGCCGCACGGCGCTTCCGCTCACCCTCGGGATTGTTAAAGTCAAAGAAGTCAGCGGTCGGCTGTGGAGCGTCATGGCGCCGATAGTTGCCGACATTGAAGGTCGCTGCTGGAATTGACAGCCATTGTAGGTATCTTTGTGCTGCATATCCGAACAGGCAGATGAAACACAGATGTCAGTCGAGGTTCAGACCAGTTGAACTTGAAGTGGCGTGACAACGTGGAGGGAACTGGGCACTTCTTGGGACAACGCTAGGGGAGGGGAAGAAGTGGTCAAGGATATCATAAGCTTGTGAAATATGTATGGGCGGATGAGTGCTGGGAAAAAAAAGGAACATGTCGACACCAGTGAATCCATGCAAAGAAAAAGAGGCCTCTTCCGTCGAGTATACATACCTAGCTGGGCAATGTAGCTCTTCCCGCGGGCCGGGAGACCGACCATGACAACACATATCTTTGTGTCCTCGACCTGGATCCCCACACCATTGTTAGTTTTTGACGGCATTGTCAAGACGAACAAGCCAGCGATGCTGCGGCGGCTGTTTGCTCAAATCAAATATGCTGATACGGTGTTTCGGGTGTGATAGCAGAGGCATCCGGCGAGGCGACTGATACATATGAGGGCGCAGCAGGAGTTGAGGAGACGCAGGCAGCAGCGGCAGTGACAGGAACGACAAGTAACAACGGCAGAGATTCGTGCGGCCCTCGTTGTCCCTCCTGGGCCAGAAGGCAAAGATGAGTTGAGCTGCTTGAAAAAGCCGGGGGAGAGAGCCGAGCGGCGCAGGGGGATGTCAGGCGCAGGTTGCGTGAGAGTGGCTGAAGAAGGCCAGAGCAGGCTCAATGCGCAGAGGAGAGAACGGCTAAGCGATCCAGAGCGTGACGAGCAGCCGGGCAACGAATCGAAGCGTGAATGGGCGTTGATTCGAGACCTTTGAGCGCGTGAGGGTGTGGGCGCGAGGCAGCTCAAAAGGGTCCAGATTCAAACAGGTTCAATCGACGTCAGGCCGCCTTAGTGGCTGGTGGGCACTAAGCCTCAGCGGTCGATTCGATGCTGTAAAAATAGGGAGAGAAAAAAAAGCCAACAGCCGAGGCAAGCCTGCAGGCAAGCAGCAGGGCGGGAATAATTGCTGCACGGCGGGTAGCACCGCAGCAGGATATCGTGGAGGGCGGGCGACTGTGATTGGGGGGCAGAAGAGTCAGGTTGGATAAAACTCTGCAGATGGGTTTGCGGACCGAAGTGGATGATGGATGAGGGTGAAGACGGGTGAAAAATCCTGGAATCTGCTGATGGAGACTTGCGGAGTGACGCGGGAAGGCGATCGTGGAGAAAAGATGGAAAAATCGAGATGGTGATGGAAAAAAGAGGAGCGCGCAGGATGTCGGGCCCCAGAAGTACGGCCTAGTACCGGTGAGTACCGGCTGTTGGTGGTTGTGGCGACGCGTGACCGGCAGATACAAAGGTGAATGAAGGTCAGACACCCCCAGATTGTCAAACTGGAAGGCACCGCCTGTACAGCCGCAGCCGTCTTATTGTAAGGTACCTTATCAAATCGAGGTAGGTGCACCTTCCGTTGAGTAGGAAGGTAGCTCTCCTGCTCGGATTTGATATCAAAATGCCTTGTATCCGCTGAAGACGGGATATTGAGGCAGGCAGATGCCCAGACAGGCAGTGGGCAGGTCAGGCACTAGCTGGTACCTAGTTCCTGTCAAGCAGAGAAAGAGACAACCGAGCCTAGACCTTCTGCATCCATAAACAGGAAGGAAGAGCCGGGAGCTTGCAGGTGTGCGTCGAGGTGGTGGCAGCAGTAAATGATGATAAAGCAATGCCACTGCAGCAGCCGGAGGGGAAGGAGCTGAGGCACGCGGACAGGCGACCGAAAGGCAAGTGACGACAGCCAGTTTCGGCAAGAGCAAGCACGAGCAGCACCGGGCGTCCAAGCAGCGACAAAGGAAGGAGGGAAGGAATGAGAATGATAAGAAGAGGAAAAAAAAAAGGAAAAAGCACAAGAACAGGGGCAAAAGAAGACGAATAGAATGTCCCCTGTCTCACGTTCTTGTTTTCCTGCCTTGCCCGATCACGAATCTGCTTCCGGGGAGCTGCTGCTGGTGGCCACCCCGCATTGTGGTGAATGGATGCATGGCCTGTCTGGTGCAAGCCTCGTCGCCCGTCGCCTGTCGCCTGTGCCTGGAAAAGCCGGCCCCAGTGCGTGCATGTGCATGTGCCTGAGCCTGAGCCTGAGCCTGTGCCTGACTGAGCTTTGGAGCTGGGGTTCTCTTAGTTGGTCTGGTACTTCACCCTGTCCAGCTCCAGCCATTGCCTCGGTCCTCAGCCCATCTCCTTGCCCCCTTCAGGCTGCCCTTCGAATCAAATGCCCCGTGATGCGCTCTGTCCAGAACACGGAACACGAAGTAATCATCATTACTCCGTATTGCGTGGTTGATGTTGTCTGGCAGCTCAGGTTGCCCCCCCCCCCCCCCCCCCCCCTTGTGCCGACGACGCACAGTGGGGGGAACCAGGGGGCGGCTCTGGGGAATTGGGAGCTCCAGGGCGTCGGCTCACGGCGAGAGATGCGCTGAGAGCTCGCCCGGTTAGGGGGGGCTTGCAGGGTCTGGCCAGCGCTGCGGGGCCGTGAGCCGCCCCTGACAGCGCCCTACCAGTCCTTTCCCAGGCCCTGCCCAGCCGCAGCCAGCAGAGCAGAGTCCGAATCGTCCCGGCCGACTCCATCTCGACGTTCCGATTCGAAGCCTCGTTTTCGTGGGTGAGCAGGTGACCGCTGGTGAACTGAACTGCAGCACGACCGATGTCCAGGTTCCCCGTCCTTTCTTGCTCCCGCGGTCCGCGAGTCGAACCATCTGCGTGCGCAGTCTGGCCATCTCGGAGGCGGCTCAATGGCGGCGGCCCGAGGCTTTGCGGCCTTGATGGCGGTCGAGACGAGTCAACATTCATCGACGACGCATCCAACCTTGTTCAGACGGCATCTCTCCACCTCCCGGTCGTCCCCAAAGTTGCCTTTTTCGGGCATCGCGGCCACGGCCAGTGGTCGCCTCTGCAGGAACACACCCCTGACCGAGACCAGGCAGCCTGTCGAAAGATTCCCCCCCCCCCCCCCCCCCCTCTGATTCCCGGTTTGCTCTTCTCGGATCAAAGGCAGCCAGCCATTGACCCGGGCTTATCCGACAGTTGCAGAGAGGGAAAGCAGAAAGGCATCAAGTCTCGTTCATGGAACCGGCTGCTGCTCATCTCGTATGTTGCAAATGGCCTGAGCGCAACCGAGTCGGCCATTGTCGCAGCTTGACTGCAATTTCGCCCCGTTGAAGAAGCCGGCCCTCAGGGTTCTCTTTTCTTCTTCTTGTCGTTGCTTTCTCCACAAGCATGTGCCGAGTTTTGCGTGTCTCTCCTGCTGTGACTCGAGCTGCGCGTTTGGCGATATCCTTGTTTGATGCCAGTCGCCGCCGTTGGTGGAACCGTGTCAAAGGGGCTGCTGCTGGCCTTGATTGATGCTCACCGCCTGCATCTCTGCGTTGCCTTCGCATCAATGCTGCAGATGCAGCTGCGGATGCAGATGCTGAAGCCAAAGCTGATGCAACCACTCGGTCGCCATGACGCAGGTTTTTGCCCGTCTGCGCGCTCAGCCACTTGACTGGCAGTCGTTTGGAATAACACGGCGGGTATCAGGTATCCCGACGTCGGAACTTGGCAGATCCAACGGCAGCAAAAACGATATAAAAGACCAAAGAAAAGACACAATAAACTCAACGAAGTCTTCTCACCTTGCTGAAACTCCACGTATTCGCTCTCGTCCTCCCTGACGGCGATTTTGTGGGCGTCGGCGGCCCAGCAGCAACGCCTACTCGCATGATGATGATGACTGCCTGCTTGCAGCGATTTGTCGCCTCTTGACGTAGACTCTGTCGATAACGGAAATGCCGCGTTTTGGCCTCGAATCTGGATGAACCACCCGCAAGGCTGGTGAAAAAGAAAGACAACTTTCAAAGACTGGACAGAAGAACACAATGATGAGAGGAAAGAGGGAAGAAGATTTAAGAAAAAAAAATGATGAGATGATGTTGCTGATTTTTACAGATTGGAATAAGCAGGGCAAACTTGACTCTTTTTTGCACTCGGACGAAAGCGAGCATAGAGGCCTGATAACGGGCGGAAAGGGGGGGCGGCAGTGGGTTTGGCTTTGATTTTCTTTGGGGCCGCACTTGATTCATGTTCTATTAGCACAAAGCAAAGCACGGAAAATAACTTGGATTTACTACTACTAGGTACTGCTGTGGATGATACTGTACTCGTAAGCCTGGTCGCAGTCGAGCTGCCCTGGTTTGAGCGCCGGATTGATCAGCAATCTCTGAATTTGCAGTGAGATATTTATAGGGTTCCGACTCCATTCAATTACTCGTGATGACATCAAAACCAAATATACAAGCTCATGATGGCGAATAAAATTTCGAAGAGAGAGAGGGAGAGAAGAGATGAATTGCCATCATATACGAAGACCCTCGCGTAGAAATTGTCCTAGATTCTTCTCACTGCGAACTTATTGCAAAGAACATGGAGAAGGAGGCGGAGTACTATGAATCCCATCGTCCAGCTCACACAACCAACGAACGACATGAGCCCCTGAATTCCCCCTTCTTCAACCGCTTGAAACAATTTCTCGCCCGGACTTGATGACCTTGATGAAGTGAAACGAACCACCTCATTCCCAATCAAATCATCAGATCCATATCAAAAGAAAGAGACAGACAGAGAGAGAGAGAGAGAGAGAGAGAGAGAGAGAGAGAGAAAGAGAGCTGTTGAGAGCCAAAAAAAAAAAGGGGGCCTCTCCTCCCCTTTACCTTTTCCTCTGCCCTTTGCTCACTTGCGCCCATAGAAGCGCATCTCGGCGGCTCCGACGTCAAACACGGCGACGACGTTTTGCAAGAAGACGTCGCCGAGAATATACGGCCCCGGCCCGCCGCTGGCGACGCCAACGGCGCAGTAGCCCGTCAGCGGGTCGACGAGGTCGCGGTAGATGAGGTCGGCCGGGTTGATCCAGAACTCGACGCCCTCGATGAGGATGGCAAAGTGCGGCGGGATGGCGGTGCACTCGACGAAGTAGGTGCCCCATTGGTAGAGGTAGACGGCGCGCGGCTGGAAGGCGTTGGCGATGGCCTCGGCGAGGGCTGGCAAGGTTGCTGGTCAGTCATACTGTTTTTTTCTTTTTCTTCTTTTTCTCAAGAAGGGGTGAATGAAGGGGTGCTGCTTACGAGGGGGCAGGTAGAGCATCGTCGTGCCCGTGTCGACAATGTATGGATACTTGGTCGTGTCCGTCGTCTGGTCCCATTTCATGCCGTCGGGCACAATCGTGTAGAAGGAGTGCTTCCACGCCGTCTCGGGCGACCCGATGAGGTTTGCCTGTTTGTCCTCCCCCCGAGTTTCATCATCGTCATCAGCCCCTCGCTCGTCACCACTGCTCAGTGGAAAGAAGAAGAAGAAGAAGAAGAAGAAGAAGAAGAAGAAGAAGAAGAAGAAGAAGAAGAAGAAGAAGAAGAAGAAGAAGAAGAAGAAGAAGAAGAAGAAGAAGAAGAAGAAGAAGAGGGAACTCACCACAATCAGATCCGTCTTGGCAAAGCCGTGAAACTGCCAGTCCATGGGGGGCAGCCCGCCCCAGGCAATGACGCCGTCGGTCGAGTTGCGCACGAGGGCGACGCTGAAGAGCGGCTCGATGGCTCCCTGGCTGATGGCGCTCGTCAGGAAGGGCGTGTAGCTCATTGCGTTCCAGGGCGCCTCGGAGCCGACGTCGCCGTAGTAGGCGCTCGTGATGGCCGGGTACGCCAGCCCCAGGATGCCGACGGTGACGTTGTTGCCGTGCCAGTAGGTGCTGTTGGCCAGGCCGACCTGCTGCCGGGCCACGGCGACGCCGCCGCACGACAGGTCGCTGTAGCCCATCGGGCCCGAGATGCGCTCGCCCGAGCCGTACTTGAGGAAGAAGTGCAGGTCGTCGATCTGGCCGCCGCCGAAGCCGTCAATCAGCGGCCGCGAGAAGCCGCACGCCGCCTCGCTGTGCGCGTCGCCGCCCAGGTCCGCGCACTCGAAGCCCGTCTGCGTCGCCCACGTGTCGGAGCTGCCCGTGTCGACCAGCAGCCAGACGGGCACGCCGTCCCAGCCGCACTGGATGGCGTACTGCGTCGAGGCGTCCGTCACGGCCGACACGTTTTGGAACGACTGCTTGAAGCCGCCGCTGCTCGTGCTGCTGCTGCTGCTGCTGCGGACGCGGCTGAGCGCCGAGACGGCAGAGCGGTGGTGGTGTTGCTGCTGGCCCTGCTGCTGGCCGGGGCGGCCCTTGATGCCCCTGAGGCGCGAAAAGTGCATCGTTGCGCGGTCCGCGCTGGGCTCCCGGAGGGCCTTGGCCCGTTCAAAGCTGAGGCCGTTCATGGGCTGTGCGAGGTCCCAGTCGGCGGCATGGCGGCGGACCTGGGGGAGGTTGGCGGAGGATGCGGTGGCGATGATGGTGAGGAGGGAGATGGCCCATTGCGTGAGTCTCATGATGAGCGTGATGATGATGATGATGATGCTTAGCTCTTTAAAATAATGGAAGAGCGACGAAGAGTGACAGAAAAAGGAGATTTTAGATGATGGGATAGAAGGGATGGTAGAGGGTGTTGAAGAAGAGTGTCGGTCGGCAGCCAGAGAGAGAGAGATAGAGAGAAAGAGTGAATGGGAAATAACAAAGGTCATCAAGGTGTCGAGACGAGCAGCATGAGAAAGCAAAAGGGGGTGGGACACTCCTCGACAGCTGGCAAAGCCACAGAGCAAGTCAAGCAGCAACCAACGAATGTTTGCAAGGCCAGCCACCTGTTTCACCCACGGGCTGCTCTTTTGTGTGAAGCGAAGTAGACGGACAGGGCAGAGAGAGGCCGGAAGGACGACGGACTCTTGGTCGTCTCTCAAAGGCAAGGGGAGAAAGTGGTAAGATTGTTTGCTTTCTGTGGACGGAGGCGGGAGGGAGGATGTTGTCGAGTCCCGGGAAGTCGTTGCGTGTCACGGCCATTGGAGTGTTTTTTCTCTCCGTAGCATGGGACTGCCTTTATTGAAAGCAGTTACAGCGTAAGAATAATAGTTGTTGTGGTGCTGAAACGAAGGAAAGTGAGTCATCGTGAAGACGAAAAGAGAGAGCAAGACCATAGATTTGAACCAATATCCCAGAGACAAAACTCGTCAACCACTCGACCCTCGCCAGCAAAAACCTCCCCCGTACGCTCACAAAACACCGAGTGCCCGTACCTCTCTCTCAACCTCACTCACAATAAACCTCCCATTTGTCTCGCAGCTTGACGCCAATTCTGTCCAACAGTGACACCCGTCTGGAGCTTCCCGAGTCCAGAGAGAGGTTTTTGCTACGATAAAAGGGTATGGGTGGGCAGTTTTGTCAACCCCCCCCCCCCCCCACCCTTTCTCCTTTTTTCTTCGTGTCTTGTCCGGTATGACTGATGCAGGCTCCTGCTCCTGTCTTTCGAGACACAGAAAATGGTAATTGGCCGAGATTCTCGGATGCAAACCGGTTCATCTCGGGGCAGTTTGGCGTTGCAAAGGGGATCCATGGTTTGGTCGTGGAGCAGCGTGTGTAGACACGACATGAGGTTGGGTAGATATGTATCAGAGGGACTCGAATATCAGACTTGAGAGTCGATCTGTGTGCGTACAATATCCGCAGCAATGGATAAACAAACAAATCTCATAAATCTCTTGCGTCTCGAGGGAAAACAAACCCCATGTACAACCCCATCAAACTCCGTCGGGAAGATATTTCAAGGTGCTTTACAGGCCCAGCTCCCTGACACTTGAAATAGATATCACCAAAAACCAAAGATCTCGACCAGAAGAAGAAGAAGAAAACTACCCGAGCCAACTCTTCTTCATCTCGAGACATTCATTAACTTCCCGTTTCAGCGTGAATACTAAAGAAATGCCGTCGAGTTTGCCCTATGTATCCGTCCGTCACACCAAATCTCTCTCTCTCTCTCTCTCTCTCTCTCTCTCTCTCTCCCGTCACACAATCTGCCCTCGAACACACGGGCGGCGTGGACTGTCCGCACAAGTCTGTTAGGTAGCATCTCAATTCGTGTGAGTCTGGGTTATTGTATCCGAAACTCGCTTATTTACCGAGACAGCAACAACCCGAGATATTGCTCATCAGAAATGTCTCTGGGCTTGTTTATATATACGGGATAGCTGAGGTAGGTGCCCAGGTGGCTAATCTGTGGGCGTGACAGTAACAGGAGCACGTTTTGGATGCCTCGGCTTGTTCTCGGCTGCATCTGGTTCAACAGAGTCGAGCACTTCTGTCGGGGTAATCGATATATGTAGTCGATAATATATATATATATATATACCTTATACATATATGCTTGTTCCATCTCGGCATTCTCACTCACAGATTCCATCATCAAAAGAAACTGTTCAAAGGGCCCCAAGTGTCTATGCAATTGTACTGGACCTTATGTATATAAACATACATTCTCTGCACATGCCCAAAACATGTCGTATATACATCCCTCGGTCGTCGACATGCGTCCTTCAACCGAATCAGAACCGGCTGAATCAACTCTCCCAAACGGACAGCATCAAACAGTCCAGCAGTCATAATAACAACAACAGCAACAACAACAACAGCAACACCGTAAACCACCCCTGCTGCTACTCCCCTCGATCGAATCCGCCAAAATCAACGAGACTGACTAAAAGAGATCCTACATATTACACGTCCCGGCCAATTGCGCTTCCCCACGGCCCGATCGTGCACCTCGCAGTCTTGTTAAAAAGCCGAGGCTAAAACCATCAACATCAAGCCGCTGTGTGCACGTACATCCAAATTGACTGAATGACTTGAACACCACCTCATCCCAGAAACCACCACGTTTCTATCCAATGTGGCATACTATTTGATAAACAACAACACATCTTGTTATAATCAATCAAACCCAATTCAAAGCTTTTCGTATCGGCATCTTGCTCAAATCATCTCCATTCCCCCCAATCCCCCTCCTTCCAATCCCCCCCCAAAGCCCGGCCAGTCGCATCTCCTGCCAAGCTGGGCTACCTCTGCGACACTACCAATGCCAACGCCAAACCACGCGATAAACCACCAAAAAAGTCTCCATCATCGACACCGCATCTTCATATGCGGCCCCTCTTCGTAGATAAAAAACAAACGATATGCCTTGCCTCGTCACGTCCGCTCCCTTGCCGCGCGTGCTGCGGCGCATCGATGGCCTGCGAGCTGCAGTCCGGCCTCGCCATGTGATTCCCTCTACACCATCCAGGTGTGCGGCGCATCTGAGAAGCCTAAGAACGGAGTCTCATACCCATTCTCGTCTCTTGCACGGCCGTGCTGTCTCTGCGAGACCCTCGTTTGTGCCTCGCGGCCCGACTCGTTCCACCACACAGCTGAGAATGGCCGCAACAAAGACACCAACAGCCAAAAGGGAACCCCCCCTTTCATACATGGAGCACCTCAGTCCCTCCGTATCCTACTACAACCCAGCATCTCAGTACAAATCCAATCCCAACAGCGACAAGAACAACGATAACACCACCACCCCGGCAGCCAGAGGCCACCCGGAACTCATCCTCGTCCTCAGCTGGATGGGCGCCCGAGACGTCCACATAGAAAAGTACATCGCCCAGCACCGCGCCCTCTTCCCCTCGTCGCCCATCCTCCTCATCCGCTCGCCCGCCTCCCACGTCTTCTGGCCCAGCCTCGCCCGCAAGCACATCCCGCCCGCCATCCGCATCCTCAAGGCCCTTGCCGAGCCCGAGGCTGCGGCCACCGCCCCCGGCAGCGGCGCCAGGCCCAGGGTCCTGCTGCACATTCTCTCCAACGGCGGCGTCAGCACCGCCGCCCGCATCAGGGAGCTCCTCCGGAAGGAGCTCGGCAGGGACGCTGCCGGCAACAGGCTCGTCATCCCGCGGTACGCCCTGTGCCTCGACTCCTGCCCGGGCAACTTTGTGTGGCAGAGCACCCACAGGGCTCTCCTGCAGTCGCTGCCGCGCTGGACCTCGCCCCTCGTGCACATGGTCATCGCCATCGCCTGGCTGATATACAAGCTCCGCCTCACCCGGCCCGCCCAGAACCTCAACGCCGAGGCCCTTAGGCGGCAAACCCTGCTCCCTAGAGAGACGCAGAGAACGTACCTGTACGGCACGGCGGACGCCGTCATCAGCTGGCAACACGTCGAGGACCATGCTAGACGGGCGGAAAGCTCGGGCTTCAAGGTACGCAAGGAGAGGTTTGAGGGTGGAGAGCATGTATCACTCATGAGGAAAGAAAGCCAGCGGTATTGGCAAGCAGTCAAGGAGACATGGGAAGGGAAGGGGGCTGAATTTGAAGCTGTCAAGGCTAGCTAGACATGTTATGATGACAAAGGAGAATGGTCACAGGTAAGTGTTGTGGTCAAGGAAAACTAAGGATTTGGATTGGATATAGTACGGGAAAAGAAAAAGAAAAGAAAAAGAAAGCCAAAATCAGAGAAGCATGGGGAAAAGGTTGCGAACAGCGGCCCGTTCATAGATATAGACGCTTCCAGAATAGAAGGATAGACGTAAGAACCATGAAGCCGTAGGCAGAGCTCCACGAAATTTCCTGTGCCACAAAGTCCGTTTATGCGTCCAAACGGATCATGTCGACTTGAGGTCGTCCCCCATCAGTAAGCGGTATCGCCAGAAGAGTCTCCGAAATGGTAAAGATATAGATTCCCAGTGAACCGTTCCAACGCCGCTCTTTATGAATGCCGATGCAAGGTCCGTAGTGCAGATTTCGAACTCGATCCCAGTCGTGAGATTCGCGGAAAATCATGTGCGTTGCCGATGCCCTCTTTCAACTCCGTCAACGCCCTTTTTTTTTATGTTCTTTCTTTCGTGCCCAATATATGCATCTCCCGGTAGCATGGAACTGGAAACTAACAGGATGAAAGAGATTTGTACGCCATTTTGCGCGCCAGATGTTCGGTGCCGAGTGTTGGTTTGGATCCAGGTTATTCAGGTCTTGGCCTTCTTTCGTGAAGTCGTCGAGGGCTCATCCTCAGCAAGCCGCTTGCTTTGGCTTGCCACGCTTTGCCCTGCCCCTGCCTCTGCCTCTTCGCCGACATCGCCGACTCCCTCGTCCTCCTCGGTACACCGGTCACACTCCTGGTCGAAATGATGCCGTTCCTGGAACACGCCGTTTGAGCAATCTCCAAAGGCGCCATTGTTTTTCGCCTGGAGACACGACAGCTCCTGCGAGAGCTCTTCCCAGACCTGCTCCTCGCCGCACTTGGTGCAAGTGCCGCTAAAAATGACCAACCGACACATGACTCTGAATTGTGAAATTCTGAAGCTGGGGCGATGAGGAAGAATGATGAGTAGGGCTTATAGATGTTTGTCCAAGGGTGATCACCCCATCAATAGACTGCTTTCGAGAGTATCCCCGGCTTCTGCAACCTGGGAGAACCAAGCAAGCGACCAAGACGCCTTTGCATTGAGACAAAATTGCCGAGCAATGGTTCGTAAAGACTTTGCAGATAATTTTTTCAGCCACAGCTCCCTCTGCAACTCATGACGAGCAAAATTCACATTGTTGACCGTCCAAAGGCGGAGGGTGAGGGGGGTTTCATACCGATCAACAGCAACGTTGTTGGTCGTACCCGTATCGTTGCACACGGGCCTCCGTTACAACTCTGATTGAGAGAAAATGGGCGTGAATTTTTTTTTCTCCTCCTCTTCGTTTTGCCCCTCAACTGGTGGGTTACGTTGGTTAGAGGGTGGATGGACTCTTTGAATGTGAATAAAGCCTCCGAAAACTGTTTGTTGTACGAGGCGCCTGCGTTGCAAGGGAGTTGGGCGTCATGAATGTCACACAGATGACAAGAAACGCCTTCTTCTAAGCCGTGTTAGTCCGCGAACAGACGGGTTGCGGCATGCAACAGAGGACGTCCCTTCTGGAAGACGACATGTAGAGGAGGGAAATGAGGCGGAGGAGGTCAGGGGAGGGAGAAGGTGAATGATGACGAGTCCATAGGATGGCGGAAAGCGATGAAGAAGACCGGCCAACCAGCCAACCAACAGGCGAGCCCAAGGAGGGATCTTGTGTGTGCATACCTGACAACCCGACGCGGATCTCTCTCTCCCCTAGAATGACACAGCAACAGAGGCACCTCTCACGCAGACAGTGACAAGGACGCGGCTAACAGCCCGCCTGCATGCTTTGTGCATCGCGCCGCTCATTTTCATCATAGTAGTATGGACCGCCGCAACTGCTGTCATCTGTCATATTCCTCCATCCAAGCCCACCACGTAATGAATGCAATCCATGTGCAAGTACGTATTCATATCCGCATGTATGTTGGCAACGAGAGGTGGGTCCCTGGGCTTGCAGTGGCTTCAATGTCGAATCGAGAGCATACCAAGATGCGTCGGCTTAGGCTGCTGCTCGAGGCATCGGGAGAGATGGCCACAGTCCAGGCACAGGCAAGGGAGCTGACGAGAACGGAGCCATCAGGCGAGACGAGACAGCGGCGGCGTCCATCCATATCGCAAGGCTTCGCTTGCTGGCTGGCCTCGGCCCACGCCATCTGGCTGGACATGCATATAGATCTAGTAGTAATATCGTTTCCTTCGAGGCCTCTCCGCCCCCTTCCTGCCCCATAGTGCCCAGGTTGGGGAGTGGGTGCTGTCTTTCTTGCATGCAAGAAGGTTGGTCCGTTAGTTGCACGCATGGCCCAATCAAGCCGGTACGTGTCTCAAAGCCTGCAGCCGGGCATCTCATGACTGTGAGGACCTTATACCAGAGTAGCCTCCTGGGCAGTGCAGTACACTGTAGTAAGGCTTGCCATTCGCAGGAAGCCGTGGCACCATGGAGCCATCAGCGCAAGGGCACTTTCTACCCGTGTCTCATCCCGTTCGGAGCAGTATCACGGCAAGCACGGCCCTTGAGGCACGCTTGTGTCCTCGTCACTTGCGTCTGAGTCGCCGGGAGGCAAAGAGAGCTGGTCTGACACGGACTGCCAACACGGGCCTGGGCAGATAAGGACGCCTCGTCGAGCTGCGGCAGCCATCATCACGAGTCGCGCAGGAGCAGTTGCAAAGAGCGCGGCTTGTTCCGGTCCGAGTCAAGGGATCGATGCAAAGCTTTTGGTGGGTGGAACCGCAGCGTCCGCCAGGGTGCCATCGGATTCCTTCCGCAGCCTCGGACGGGACGTAGCGTTGCAACTTGGCGGGGAGGCAGTGATGCAGGCCCTACTGTATTCTCCTCCATCTCCGGCCGTCTCCCCATCCTCGCTGGCTCTCTTTTTCCCTGTGGCCTGAAGGCGTCGAGGGCTGGCGGATATGCGGGATGCGAGGGGAAGCTCGGCGCCACCATGCCTGCGCGGAAAGTATGCTTCGTCCTCCCCATGCTTGTGCGAGCTTGTGTTACCATCGATTCACAAGCTGCAGACGCAACGAGCGCGAAGAGCGGCAGATCGGACCAACCGATTAGCGACGGGTGGGAGAGGGTCAAGTCAACGGGCAGGGCAGTTGATTGATTTAGGTAGACAGACAAACGGACAGACAGACAGACAGACAGACAGACAGACGATCTGCGGAGTTGAGGAGCATCAATCAGCACGCAGACCAGGGGTCTCTGGGCGTCGTACCGCAACGCGCAACGCCGGCGTGCATATTGTGTACATTACAAGGCACCTTGTGGCTTCTTTTGCGGCATCCGCGGTCGAATTTGAGCTGCGGTTCGGGTGGAGGATGGCGAAGCAGATGCAGCAAAGTGACTTGATGACAGGTAGGAGGTTGACTTTCTGTCCATCAGATCATCAAGGTTGAGCTCTACCTTAGCATCTTAGTCATGCCACCAGCCTAGGTGGTTACTACTACCTCTATCCATACCTACTTCCAACTCCAGCACCTCATCATCATCAACCTCGCAAAGTCTTTTCAATCTCTCAATCAAGATCCCGATGAGAAGTTTCTCATGCCACTCAATCACTACCAACTCTCCCTGATCCGAATCCCACGCCTCCTCGCTACAGAAGCCGCATATCTCGCCCTCCTCCTCCCCATGCACCGCGATCCTCTTTCGCTTCAAGCTCCTCTCAACGCATCTCTTCTCCTGTGAAAATCTGCATCTACCGCCTCGTCTTCTAGGCCCCAGGGAGGCTGGAACGGGGTCACATGCAGCCCGGCCATCTGCGGCCTGATGAAGCGGCCAACCCAGCCAGACACGATGCCGCCGCCACCCATTGTCGCGATTGTCCACAGTGTTGCAGGCCAGACAAGGGAAGGGGGGGGGAGCTGATATGCTGCAGGTCCTCGTAAAGGACTTCCACAGCCCCCCCCCCCCCCCCCCCCCTGATGACAGGGACATCTCTGAGAGCAATCCTCGTACAGTACGCAATACAGGCATCTACCCAGTGACACACGTCCTTGTGTGTCATGTTATGCTCGTGCAAGGGCTACCTGCGGCAAAGAAAAGAAAACCCTCTTCCGCTTCTCACTCGCTCCCTCTCTCAGGCAGGAATTTAGCCCTATCAGAGAAGCCGCCCTACTCGAAACTACTGACATTTCGTACCCCTGGCTGCATCTGCATTGCATCGCATTGCATAGGTAGACCATTCATCTAGTAGTAGTAGTGTCCATCCTCATACGTCCCAGCTGAAAACATCTCGGCGTCCAGCTCTGCAAAGCCCGAGACAAGGATCCTCTTTAGATCCATCCATTCACACGTAGCCAGGTAATAAGTGATTCCTCCGTTGACGCGCTCGGGCTCCTCGATCAGAGGTGGGCTCCTCGATCGTAATCGTGATTTTGTTTCTTTTCCAGAGCACAAACACATCTTAGCATACGCCGGTCCAGAAGGAGACGGGAATAAAGGGGGCAAAGAAAGGGATCGAAGACAGCTCAAGAGAAGTAAGAACCCCCCAAAGGCCTACACCGCAACATTTGGGGGGAAAGGAAAATGTGATTGGTTATCTCAAGGAGGCGCTCGCGTTGACTCAATCTCGATAGTCTTTCTCTCAGCTGAAGCATACTACCTGGGTAACTCTGCAACTTTGTGTGTACATGAACGTAGACGGGCCGAAATCCATCAATCGAGATTCCCATAGGTCAATCCAAGGCAACTGTAGCTACTATATCGAACTCGCCTATACAGACTCTCATCTCGCCCCCATCATCTCCCACTTACTCCATCGCATCTTCCAATGCCCATGTCACATTACCTTACTCACCCCTTCTCCCCAATACGGCCTCACCGTCCCCTTCTCCAGATATCTCCCCACTGAACGCCTCTCTGACTGCATTAGAAACCATAATTATTACTTTTCTTGCATGCATATCACATTGAATCCGACGAATGTGGACCAGGAAAGGAGGTCGTCACC